AGATGGATAGGATGATGGGGAGGGGGTGGAGTAGGAGATGGATAGGATGATGGGGAGTGGCCGGAGTAGGAAATGGTGATTTACCTTTAAACGACAGGCACCTTTCAACACACAGTCTACACACAGCACTAACTAGGGTAGTACAATGAATTTTATTGCTAAGGTTGATAAAGTATCTTACACATCTGTATTGCAGTCGTATGTCAACCAATCTAGTAAACAAATTTGACAAAGCTTGATTAGTATTTTCTTGTTTAATTTAGTCACCATATTTGTATAATATACTTGGATGTCTCTTTCTTTCATGTTATTACAGTAAAGAAATTCAAATCCATAACAAGCAGCGAGCCATGGTGGCTTTGCCGTTCTAGTTGACTTTTTTAACTGTGAGGAGAAATACTAACTTTAGACTTTACTTTCCAAAGATGTGCATGACTGGGCTATAACTTATTTTACTTTTTCTATTCTCTAATTAATTATTGACCAGCAGGTCAATTTGACTACAATGCAGCGAACAATTTGACAGCAGAGTACCCTCCAAATAGAGATGTAGGTTTGGCAGTGTCAACGACCTTGGGAGTCACTGGCATTCTTGGTAATGCCTTGGTTTCCTTGAGCATCTTACGGGCCAGATGCATGCACAGCATCACCAACTACCCACACACCTTGCTCTGGCTGACCTACTGCAGGTGTGTGCAACTCTCCCAGCATTCCACTGACATTTTATGCAGTCCCAGGACGTGTGTGTGTTGTTTAAGGACCTCGTCCTGGTCACTGGTTCATGGTAAACTTGTCGATCGCATCCGCGCTACTTATCGAGTCAGAGGGGGAAGCTGGCTGCTGTCGGCACCGCGCGCCTCGATTCACGTCTTGCCAAATATCACTGCCTACTCGGAAGGCTGCTTGCAAGATCTGGGTCTCCCAAAGGACACGCTTATAGCACTTTAATACTTTCCTCGTGGCTATGTACACGATGCCAATGTTAAGTCTCTTCTGCTAGACTGTTACGGCGGGATTTTGATCAACCAGCACTGACACTGTTACATTAGGCCGTCCATGCCGAAGATCTGAACCGTGCTAAGTGAAAGGTGGCCCTCGTTTTGCTGATGGTGGCTGTTGTTTACATCATCGTCTGGGTCACTATGGCCCTAATATATGTCTGCTGTTTTTGACATGCCTAGCAGCGGTGTGTCAAATATAGTCAACCAGCTGTACTCCATTCTCCTTGTCTTCAACTCCATGGTCAATCCAATAATCTGTGCTTTCAAGTATAAGGAGTTTCAACGAGGCGTGAGGGAGGCGATGCTTCCCCGGTGTTTGACAAGGCTGCACAGAGTATTAAACGTTCGAGATAATGCCATTCCAGTGGGATAGTTGTTTTGTTCTGGTGGATGTAGAACTAATTAACGGGGCAAATAATATTTCGCGCGGGGAGGGGCAAACAGTTTCTCAATGTAAACTTTTATGTCCTCCATTGGGGGTGAAGGTAAATTTGAGCGCTTCTTATAAACTTTATTAAGCTTTTAGAGGTAAATGAAATGAACTAATCCCCCAGAAAAATCGAATCATTTTCTTATCGTCTTAGTGACACAACCATTTCTCGCGCAGTGCCCATTTTCCCCGAGACGGATCATCCCAAAATGTGGACTTTCCAGTGCCATGCTCAATGCATGGGGAAGGGGTTATAAAGTTGAAACTTTACAGCTGGACTGATATGGAGTGTCTTTACAGGCATGCTGAGTTTAAAAGAAACCAGGCACGTGACAGCCGAGTTCTTCGGGATGGAGACAGACCCCACCAATGAGATGGTCCAAAATAACTGGGCTCTGTTCGAATTAACAATGGGGAAATGATATCGCAGACTGAACAAGATATCTGCCTGCCTTTAATTACATGCGTAATTTATCAGGTCCAAAATAAAACTCTTTCCTTTTAGTATTACAGGCGATATAACAATATGAAAGGTAGGTAGGAATTTTGTTTGCACGCTTTCAATACTGATTAAGAGTGCAGCTGAGTGTTAACTGGTTAATAACAGCAGCAGAGAAGTCAGGTGGCGTTTATATCAAATGGAATGAACATCACTTTACAGCATGCATGAGTAAGTTCGTTGCATCTTTTTGCACCACATTCAAACTAAAATAATAACATTCTTTTCTTTATTAATTTCCAAGGAAATCCAAGTAACCTTTACCGCGATATATCGTCCATAGATAGCGATACTGAAACACGTCATACATGTATATGTATACCTATAAATAACATCGACTTTCTGGTGGCTGTCAGGGTGAGGCGTGTTGCCTATGGAAGATAATTTCACTTTATTGGCTTTTCATTTTTGAAGAAATATGAATGCAAAGAGTAGTCACAGAACTGCAAAAAAATTTGCCGTTGTTTGTTGTCCGTAGTAACATAATATTTCACATTTACATGCTACACGGACACAGCTGCACGACTCTGTCCTTGTAGAAATATAGAGGCAAGGTCCTAAGACTTTCTCAGAGAGGGTTCCACAGGGTCAGAACTTTCCAAAACGCATATGCAAACCCCGTTTACTCTTTGGAGACTTCAACCAGTCCTTCGGACCACAGGGCCACCAAAAAGTCCCAAACATCTGCTTCCGAAAGACAAAGTTGCCCGCTTTCTAGCCAGTCATGTTCTTTACAGGATATCAACTGGTGGAGGGCTTTCAAGTGGCTTGTCGGAAATCGCAATGCGGCTGGCTGAAATATCAGGAATTAAAACATAGCAGATGAGGAATCTGACAGAGGGGAGTAACTTGGAAGAAGGGTGCGACAGGAGAGGAATGGCAGAAGGTCTTGAAGATTGTAAATGTATAATTACTGTGAGTTGGGATGTAAATTGGAAGTTGAATGTTTATAAACCTTGCAGACACCAAACTGAGTTTCAATACTACAATGTACAATGTATGTCATCATAGTCAACTTATAATCGGGAGGGAAAGCAGTTCCCGGGCCTGTTTTAGGATCAGTATTTTTTATACATCCCAGAATTTCCTGCCATGTCCAAGAGCGAAAACAGAAACACGCATTTGGCCTCCTTGACTGCACTCCATGGTGTCGATGCTTTAAGGAGCAAGACAAAAAACAAGTCGTCATGAGAGATACTGGAACAAAAGGTTGCATTACCTTGGTTCTGCAACTGTCCATCATGTGAGTGGTTCGTGAGTTGGCCAACGAGTGTTGAACCACAATGAAACTTATCAACCTCTCCCCATCTTTGATGTCATTGTTTGCGTCTGCCGTTGTGTCCTCACTGTTTTCATCTTCTTCATCTTCATCTTCGTTATTTATATCTTCATCATCCTCACACTTCGACACTTCGTGTACAAACGTGTGACGAGGATGTGCCAGTCTGACTTTGCAACTTCCTTTTGGCATTGGACCTGTGATTGATAGATAAAGACAATTTTTTGCTTTCTGCTAACAATTCCAGGAGATTAACCCGGAGTTGAATGCTGTTCAGTTTGGGATGTTCTAGATTCATGTGTTCATTAGCCCCTACTTTCAAAAATGACAGCTGGCCGTCATGCTTTTATTCTCATAAAACAATGAAAAATAAACAAGGATGACCCCTTTGACAAAAGGCCTGTACTCACCGAGTGGGCTTGTTTGGCAGCCATCTTGTATGTATGGAGGCAGCCGATTGGCTACAAAATCCTTGAGCATCAGATATTTAGCTTTGTTAATGTGATCACTGATGTGATTGGTCAGCTGTCCCAAGAGATACTCAAACACAGACTTCTCAGATGCTGTCTAATAAATGAAAAGAAACCTCCAATTTTCTTGCATAAACTGAGTATTTTAGATACTTCAAATACAGCCAAGTGTCACAAATACTGACCCTCAAGATACATCTGTAGGATATTTGTACATTTCTTACCACATCCTATAATACTTTGCAACACTCCGAGGCTACTACAGTGTTACATCAAGCCCTGAACTGTGTTCAAAGAAAACTTTGACTTCTGGCATTACTGGTTGGTTAAAGTCAACGAAATTTCCAACAGCAAAATGCCAAAACTTCTGGCGAATTTTACTGCAGAAACAGCTGAGGTTTCTGCCTTGTATGACATCACTTTTCCTAACAAATTTGCCAATTTTTGTTGGCATGTAAATAAAAAGGGCCCCCAAAGGCTGTCGAAATGTCTCGAAACTGAAATGAAAATCTGCTGAATGTGCAGAAGTATTTATGAAAAATGCAACTGAGAAAATCTCAACTGTATGAGTCCTTTACTGGAGATGCTATTTTGATGACATGTTCATGTATACTAAGATGTCAGGCAGCGAAAACCTCTCTCATTTTTTGGGTCTACTGACGGCCAAATGCCTCACTGATTAAAAAAACATTAAACAGAATTCCCAATTGTAAACTGGTCAGTTATGTATACATAATATCTACCATGCAGCTTACCAACAATCAGAAAGTTGGAATAAGTTGGCAGCTTTCCAAAACAGCATGGAATGAAGTTGTTGGGTCTTCTTATTACGGTAGCACGTACATGGTACGCCTGTCAATTACTCATGACAAGTTTTAATAATTTTTCCTCAAACTGCAGGCATTATTTATCGAGGAGGATTTTCAGTTCTAGCCAAGGATGTCATCATGTCATCGTTCGCTGAACAGAGTCGTAAAGCTTAATTGTGGTGAATATCAGGCCCGTGAACATTGTCAAATTGCCTCGTAAAGCAGCAGTTAATAACACCCAACTCTTCTTGAGTTATAACAAAGTCGAGTCGGCGATTTTCCCAGTCACTCATCACACACTGCCACAGTACACATCGACACTAGAACAAGAGTACTACATCCATAGTAGCTACACTTCTAATACATACTCCAGAAACCATGCAAGTGAAATTCAGACATCTCTTAATTTCATTGACGTAGACTGGATGCTGATGATTAGAGGAATAGTCAGTCATCAAGACATCGACCATCTAGCTTTACTTCAAGTCCTGTGCACACCAACTGGTAAGTCTTCTTCCGTTCCAGTCATTGCTTCTCTAGCCATATTGGTTTTGTTTTCCAACTCAGCGAGATTCAAACAAGAGCTCAAATGGTATTTTAGAGAAAAAGCCCGAAAGTCAGGCAGGGACTGAAGCATCTAAGTGGGATTTGAACCCTAGTCTCAGAGGTACAAGATGAAGAAACTACCACTGGGCCGACCTGAATCTCCATTTCCAGTTATTGAAGCTTTTACCAAAATAAGGACCGAATAAGTTCTATCAACATGTGCACATTGTTTTCTATCACTGTCACGTGCATGCTTGTTTTTGTCTTTTTGGATTTTTAAGTTGAGCTTGTATAACTTTGAAGACTGAAGTTTTGTGGATGCTTTGGCAACAATTGTGTCAAAAATGGGCAAACATTTATTCTCCTAAAATGTCAAATTTGACGATACATGATGACACCTAAGAATTCTGTAGGGGAAGAATGCGTAGTGAATTACTAGCCAGGAGTTTACAATACAAAAAGGTTTGCATGACTGGACCAAAACACAGAAGCACAAATATGCAAGAAGCAGTCACCATATTTCTATTTAACTTCATCACTTCGAAATGATTTGAAGATAAGAGAAAGTAACATCCTTCCTGCAAGTCAAATTTTGTACTGATATTTTTTAAAATTTATTCTTTTAATTTCATATTCTCGACCAAGCACTCCTTTTTTTGTTTTTGTTTTGCTTTTTTACTCTCATTTGACCAACAGGTCAATTTGAACACAATGTCGTCAGCAAACAATTTGACAGCAGAATACCCTCCATATAGAGATGTGGGCTTTGCAGTGTTAATGACCTTGGGAGTCACTGGCATTCTGGGTAACACCCTGGTCTGCCTGACCATCTGTCAAGTCAGGTTCATGCACACCACCACCAACTACCTGATTGCACACCTCGCCCTGGCTGACCTGCTGGTGTGTGCGACTTTCCTCGCATTCCAGGAACGTTTCATCCATGACAATCTCGAAGACCCACTCCTTTGCCTGTTATTCAAGAACGGTGCCCTCGCCTGGTTGATGGCGAGCGTGTCAACTGCCTCCATGGTGTTGGTCACTGCTGAGAGGTACGTAGCAATTGTGTACCCACTGCACTACCCCTGCTATTTATCGAGTAGGAGACTTAAGCTGGCAATAGCAGGAATTTGGCTGCTGTCAGCACCGCTCGCCTTGATTCAAATTTTCATACAAGAGACCATTGATTCGGTGGGGTGTTTGCAAAATTTGACTATCCCAAAGGGCACCCTTACAGCACTCTATGCTCTTCAAGTAGCTCTGTTCATCATCCCAATGTTGAGTCTGTTCTACTGTTACGGTCGGATTATGATCAACCTGCACCGCAGTGCACGCCGGCACCATCAGGCCAACAACGCCGGTCATGCTGAGGATCTGAATCGTGCTCAGCGAAAGGTGGCCATTGTCTTGCTGATGACGGCAGCCATTTACATCGCCGTCTGGCTCACTATGACCCTGTTATATTTATTTATCCTGTTTCATACCATGCCTGGCAGCGGTATGACAGATATAGTCAAACAGCTGTACCAACCAATTCTCTTTGTCTTTAACTCCATGGTCAATCCAATAATCTATGCTTTCAAGTACAAGGAGTTTCAACGAGGTGTGAGGGAGGCATTGCTGCCTCGTTGTCTGATAAGGCAGCACAAAGTAGACACCAGAGGTAATGACATTGCTATGGGTTAGTTTTGAAAGCACTGGCCTTGAAACCAACAGTAGAACTAAGAGTGTTAGGGAATGAACAAGAGAAATCTGTTCTCATCATCTGATCTGGTCATCAGTTGCGTGTTCACGGTTCACTGCATACAAGTTAGGGTTTTTAGTCCAGGCAAAAATATGTTTACTAATGTTTCAACTTAAGTTCAATGATTTTAATAAATTATACAAAATAGCTTCTTGACTATGTGTACATATTTAATTGATTACATAAATAATGCCATGTACTTAAAAATACATGTAGTCATAAATATTTTAACACACAAACATGCAGGAGCACACATACATCTAACGTGCATGAATTTTGCACTGTTGTATACTTTTGCTATATTTCTGTAAATATGCGTTCAAAATAGATCAAACCAATCTTCTTCGATGAAACATCCGAGTTACAACAAAGATGTAAAAATAAAAGGTAGGACAAATTACCCGGTTTAAAAGACCAAAAACTTTTATTCTGCCTTGAGCGGTTGGTGGTGCTGTGCCCGTAGCAACCAAAGAACACTTGGCATGAACACAGGCGTTGCGTGCAAATGCAAACTGGTGTGCCTGCTGCACTCTGCCTGCATTCCACAGGGTTAGCGCTACAGGGGCAGGGGTAGTTCTGATAAATGTTTGCCATGGAGAAAAGAATGCTTCATGGATCATCGAGGGAGACTGGTTTTGGTGGAGCACTCAAAGATGTCTATGCCTGCATTATGTATAAGAATTTATCCTGTAATTCACCATCACCTACACTGTTCATCAGCTGATCCACTTTCAGCCCTTTTCTGAAATCAACATTCTCATCAACGGCAGAGTTGAGTATGTTTGGCAAGGCCAGAGCGAGCAGATCACCATTGGAACTGTGTCATGTCAAAGAAGAAAAAAAGTTACCATTGAAGTAAGGATTATAAAACAAACCATACAGTGAGTAACATGTAATTTGCCATTGCTACGTGTGGTCATTAAATCTCAAAACACAAAGAGGAAGTACATGTTGTTTGCTGTGGATCTCTGCGAACCCAGAGCATCCGAAAATCAGGTACCAGAGACACGGTACATGGCCCGTGAGACCGGGGTGCCTGAAATCGGAAATTTCTCTTAAAAAAGGTTGCTGGACATTATTAGAAAAACGAACTTGCTGTCAGTCAAAAGTTTGGGCCATCAGCGAAGGTAAATCCATCGTTGATGGGCAACAATGGGTTCACTGGACCAAAAAACTGGGCTAAAGGCCGGGGTGACTGAACTTGGAAACAAAAGACCGAGCTGCTGGGACTCGCCAATGACGGTTCGTACACAGTAAGTGCTGGTTCACCCTTACGGTCCATGCGCACTGCAGTGTGCAGTGTGCTGGCCATTAGCAGGGGTAATCTGTCAATTAAATACGGCCTTTGCCCTTACCCAACATATATTAATATTGAAATAATCCGTCATTGTTTTGAAAAAGTATCATTGTTTGCCACTGCCAGCACCAGCGGATTATCAGTGTGGACAAAAGCTCTTGCTCCAGTGATTAGTGATATGATACTCCTGAGCGCTCATGGAATCTGGCCACATTATGTGGCGTTTATTGTGCCGGTGTGTCCGTTGAATGGCTTGGTTCACCCTCATGGTCCATGCGCACTGCGTAGCAAACACCGGCCGTCCAGCGTAGCAACTCACTGGGCTAATTCCCCGAAAAAGAGGAAATTATGTGGCACCGCATAATGAAGACTCTTTACTGGGCAGCATGCATGGCTGCAATATTCACTCATCAATGGAGGTTGCCTGTCAGATTAGAGTCGCCACAGGACAGTCATTTTTTGAGGGTGTGTGCGTGCAGCAAATGAAGATATGAATTTTAAAGAATTTTAAAATGGAAAAAAAAGAAACAGTGCCCGGCCCAGCAGCCTGAACGTGGATAACGGCCCGGCGTGAAGTGGTTAAACTCTCATGTTCTGTTCATAAACCTCTCTGCTGACACAAGTCAGTCCACATTAGGTGTTTATGTTTGTGTATGAAATCAATATAATGAAAGCTTCATGACGACGACAAGAAACAGTCATTGGTCAAACCCTATGGTCAAACTGACTATTTCAATATTAACTTATAATTGCTGAATTGCTGATTAAGTTGTGACTGTAAAGATGACTAAAGGTCAGACAGATTGTTTTGCCGGGGAAGACAAATAATCAAATTAACACCAGAGATCTTAAACAAAATAGTCCATTCACTGAAAATTTGGTTCTCTTGTTTTCATTCAATACTAATGTTAGCTGGTTTCCATGCTGTCTGTACATACACACTACTGAAGCCCAAATGCCTATTGGTTGATGAGCCATTTAGTATGTGCCTATAACCAACATACGAACGTGGTACCACTTTCCTGGGCAAGATTATGCCAGAACCATGAGTCAACCTCTGGTTGGTTTTGCCTGGTACCCAGGATGTATTTTGTGTTCCGGTGACCAGGGAAAAGTCGACCAATGGTTGACAAATGTTGTCCCCTGAATGTACTCAGTAAATGATTTCTATTCCTGTTCACCCTTTTGGTCTATTTTATACAACTTACGATCTTTGATAAGTGCTGATGGTGACGTGGGTGGAGTACGGACAGTCTGCCGGGGTGTCAGCTTGGTGCACGGTTCCCCGCGGGAAGTACAGCAGATCACCAGTCTGTGTTGAGATACCAATAGAACCAATATAAAAAATCAAGTCAAAAATTTGGGGGCAGTATTCATTTCTAGGGCTGCCGTGTTTCACTAGTGCATCAAATGGCAAAAATCGCTGCCAAAGCCACTGACCACTCAATCCAAACACAGCTTGACTTGTACGTTTGCTGACTTGTACGTTTGCTTGTACATTTTGTACTGTTGCTGAAGGTGGCATCAATCAATGGAGTTTTGCTAACTTGATTCCATACCACATATTATGCCCACACTTCTTCATTTTTCGACAGAGCTTTACAAGCTTTGCGTTATTGCTAAATTTTCTTAATGTTTTTAACTCTCTCCAGGTATTAACACTGATTTGGATATTTATGAAGGTCATTAGCTTGAAAGAAAGCCACCATAAAAAATTCCATCCGTAAATGTGATAAGTAGTAATGGCACAAAACCTTGGAGTAACACCTGGAAGTGACACCTGCAACTACCTGGAAGTGACACTTGCAACTACCTGGAAGTGACACCTGCAACTACCTGGAAGTGACACCTGCAACTACCTAGAAGTGACACCTGCAACTACCTGGAAGTGACACCTGCGACAACCTGGAAGTGACACTTGCAACTACCTGGAAGTGACACCTGCGACAACCTGGAAGTGACACTTGCAACTACCTGGAAGTGACACCTGCAACTACCTGGAAGTGACACCTGCAACTACCTGGAAGTGACACCTGCAACTACCTGGAAGTGACACCTGCGACAACCTGGAAGTGACNCTGCAACTACCTGGAAGTGACACCTGTCAACTCCCTGGGAGTGACACCTGTCAACTACCTGGAAGTGACACCTGCAACTACCTGGAAGTGACACCTGCAACTACCTGGAAGTGACACCTGTCAACTCCCTGGAAGTGACACCTGTCAACTCCCTGGAAATGACACCTGTCAACTACCTGGAAGTGACACCTGCAACTACCTGGAAGTGACACCTGTCAACTACCTGGAAGTGACACCTGTCAACTACCTGGAAGTGACACCTGTCAACTCCCTGGAAGTGACACCTGTCAACTACCTGGAAGTGACACCTGTAACTACCTGGAAGTGACACCTGCAACTACCTGGAAGTGACACCTGTCAACTCCCTGGAAGTGACACCTGTCAACTCCCTGGAAGTGACACCTGCAACTACCTGGAAGTGACACCTGTCAACTCCCTGGAAGTGACACCTGTCGACTCCCTGGAAGTGACACCTGCAACTACCTGGAAGTGACACCTGCAACTACCTGGAAGTGACACCTGTAACTACCTGGAAGTGACACCTGTAATGCCATCAAGAGCTGAGCTCAATGTGGATGCCTACCTCCAAGACAAAGTCGTGGGTCGGCTGCCCGATATCGTCCTGGCTCAGGTCTCTGCTGTAGTCTCTGGGGAGCTCCGTGGGGGGTGAATAGAGGTGCCAGTGCTTCCGACCTTCCAGCTGAAGGATGAACACCTGTCAACGATCACATGTGAAATACGTGGCTTTAGTTCCGTGGTTATGCGAGTGTTCAATCGCGTCATACTTTAAACAGGTCAGACTGGACCTGAAGCATTACAGATATAAACCGAATCAGACCCAAAACTGATCTGAGCTCCCCAAATCTGACCTGACCTGGCAAAATTAAGATCAAACTAACCCGAGAGGACCCAAAATCAAACCAACTCAAAAAATCCCCAAATATCTGGTTCGGATAAAGCTTTCTGCAATTTTTCTGATTTTTTGTGCCTGAACCTATCCAGGTTGAATGAATTCTTTTGGGAAATCATACCAAAACTCCAAGCTGTTGCAATACACTCTAACAGTCCAGGTTGAAATTAATGCCGTAGGACAAAAAATCATGTGTCTTGCCCACACTGGCACTGCGACTCCTCAGTAATATTGCACCATGTGAACGTCCAAACTGGTTTTTGTTCAGTCTATTTTGGATATATACCAAGATGGCTTACCCAAACTGTCAAACATGAAACCCTACATATGCAAAATGGCCGATCCAGCCCTCTTGAAATGGTGGGAGGAACTTGCCCAATCGCAAATCGGTTTCAACATAATAGGCCTTACCCCCTCAGGATGGGGGGTGGGGATACGGGCATTTCCCAAGCACTGCCACCTTGGAGGTGGCATGCATGGGATCGGCATTAAGACGACCGACAGTGGATAGTCGAATGAGCATTTTTCTGAGGGGAAGATGTCTCCCCCTCCATGTCTCCATAGTTGGCCACTAGGGGCGGCAGTTGGGCAAAGGTTACAGATCTGCCAACTTTTGTGAGGGTTTTTTGCTCGTTTGGAGAGGCCCTATTGTAACCTCTATGTTTGCCGAGTGGGAGATGTGCCCCTGCCATGTTCCCAATAGTTGGCCATTTAAGGCCAAATTTGGTCAAATGTTACAGATCTGTCAACTTTTGTGAGATTTTTGCTTCCTTGAATGGGCCCAATCGTTACCTCTACATCGTCGTAGTGCGGAGCCAACCCCTGCGAACCGCCGGGTGTTATGTAAACATTAGCCCCAACGAGGGAATGGAAGTAACTCTCCAACAACTCACAGATTTGCCACAGTCCATCCTGATATAATACAATACAGACGACACCCAAAAAACTTACATTTACCAGTGCTTCTTAAAAGAAAAGTGCACAGATTAAAATTAACGCAACAACATGATTGAAAAGCAGTTTTGCGACAGGCACATTTCAGACTGAAAATGTTGAGAGGACTGACACAACATGATCATGGAAAAAAAATTATATGAGCATTTTTTTTGGTCAAAATGTTTGACATTTTACAGGTGTTTGCTAGCAGAGTTGGCTACTGTATAATTTAAGCCATGACAAGGCAAAGGACGCATGCTGATTTGAAGGGGCCCAAACCTCAAGAATGACTCTTTATATTTAATGAGAATCGTATTGTCTGAAAAGTTTGAGATTCCCAGTGCTGAGTATAGGAGTCCCAAAGCCAAGCATAGAGAACATAAAAATAGACTACTGTATGCACACACGTCCTACAAGCCCTTTACTACTTCATCAGTCGACCGTGTCAAAAGAAATGTCTGGTGAATAGTCTCTTACTTCTAAATATTCTCTCCACAGTCATGCCACCAGACTACAGAATGGCCATTTTTTAAGTGGTGGACATAAACCACTCTAAACCAGAACTGTCTATAGAGAGAGTTGCGACATGAGTGTCTCAACTGTTGGAACCAAAATGGTGTATTATGCCTCAGTACATATGGACAATTTGCACACAACAGACATAATGAACAGCCATTTTGGTTCCAGAGTCTAGTTGGCACTACTTGATCTACACACAGCTCTGGTCTAAACTTAGGATTCACATTGAAATCACTAGGCCTTCATTCTCAAAGGCGACATGCTGAAGAAAACAATCACTTAAAAGTTTAACTGAGGCTGAAAAACTGGCTGGTGAAATACTAAGGATCTTGTCCCAGGTGGATGAAAATTTGACACGTTTCTTCTCTTGAGTATATAAATTTGGCCTGATTTTGTTTGAATCATCTACAAACCTGGAACCTTTGAGGCTGGTGAAACTGAAGCGTTGCCTTCTTCTTGTCAAAGAGACTTTTGACTTTTGCCAAAGTTGCTCGACCGCGGCCGTTCAAGTTTTCTCGGTTGGATTCAACGTACCTAAGAAAAAAAGCATAATCCGTTGCTATTCGGAGGTCTAGTCTGGGCAACTAATTCATTGTTTGAACAGTCAAGCAATGCTTATTTGTGTGAGTGAACTGCACGGAAGTTTGCAGTGATTTCTCAATCCTGCAAAATCACTGACCACATTCAAACCCACACAAGGTTGGACCAACAACCCAATTTTTTGTATAGTGGGGGCAGCAAACTTTTGTTTGGGGACCCAAAAATTGGAGAATTTCTTTCTCCTTTGATTACAATTTTTAGGGGTAAGGCTGAAGTTTGGGGGCTTTTTCTACATGCTTTTGGAAGGAAAGGATTAAACAATAGTCCCCCTAAATCACCTTTCTCTCATTAATTATACAAACTTTGGGAAGCGGGCCATGGTCCATGTTGCTGCCCCCTTCCTCAAACCTGTCAATAGACCTGGGTGCATCATTACATGTACCTGCAGATGTTAATATCCTGGCCAAACTGAATGTCGTGCTTGGCCAATAAACCCATCAGCCCATCCTTGGAGAACACAGAGCCGTAATAGCTCGCCGACGGCCCAGCGTCTCCTCCCCGGTGGACGACCAGGGGTTCCCTCTCCCAGTGTCTGTCGAAGAACGTCGCCACGCTTACTGCTGGAGCCAGCAGTGAGGCCAGAAGGTCTTCTGGCTTGGTGGGGACCAGCTGTCCTAAGCTCTCCGATTTGTCACCAGGATTTACCACGGGGGTTGCCTTGGGCAATGCTGCTCTTCTGCCCTTGGCATTGGGAGCTTTTGTGGACTTCTGCGATCGTGGCGCAAGTCTGCTGCGTTTTGACGGAGAAACATCACCAACTGCTTCGCTGTTACGACTTGTTGTGCGTGTGGAGCCTCTTTTCCTATCTTTGAGAAAAAAAAATAACAACCAAATTGAGACTTTGGCTAGTCAATGCCGCTGCTTTATGCTCTTAGTTTTGGGGTGGATCACTAGCATCCTCGTCACACCCCACTGCATCCAGTCACCTTATATATTGACGACAGACTGAGCATGCAGTCCGAAATGTTGAGTATACTCCCGGTTCTTTTCAGAACCACACATACTCATAACAGATACATTCCTTCGCATGGTGCTACTGCAAGCCTTTCCACCTATTTCTGTCTTTCACCATGAATAGCCTGAAATTCCATCGTGGACTGGTCTATCGGCAAGATGGGTCAACTACACAATGCTATCAATCCAAATCTCGGATTTGCTTCACAGTTTTAAACTGATCTTCCAAACCATGAATAAAGAAAGAAGAGATGACAGAATTGTTAAGCCTTGTAAACAAATCCTGTGAATGTTTCTTTTAAAAGAAAAAGCAAACCCAAGAAAGAGTTGTTTGGGGGACTCCCCATGTAGCCCAGTGACCGGTGCAAGTAAACAAAACTGAAGCTTTGTGTACAAATTGGATATTAGAAACGGATGGAGATTACCACACACCTGCAATTTTGCAGACTGCCCTACAGGTAGCTTGAATTTAAAACCCTGATGCTCATGACATCGTGACCATTAGGGCTGAGGTTGCTCAAGCTACGGAATGATAATTGACCGATCGCGCTCAAGGCCTTCAGGGCCTGTGACCTTCCAAGGGCCTTCAACATCATGTCCTATGGCTGTCGCACAGTGTGTGAGCTTGGCCCCATCGTTCCCCTGGAACTATGGAGTTTGTCATGGAAACAGGCGGAGCAATGAACCCCCACAGTTGTAGGGGTAACTATACTACTGGTGTGGTTGGGTTACACTCCAGGGTCAGCCATCATAATCTCATTGAGCCTTTTGCGTTTTGACCAAGTAAAGACCAAGCGAGGAAAGTGGTACCCGATACCGTCTTCCTCCTTTTAGGTTATCCTTGTTTAGCTGAGGCATTTCAATATGGGCCTACCAGGCATTTGGGCCTTCCAAGCAAACAGATGCAGAATGAGACACATCAGATTACGTTTACAGAGACGCAGTTGGCAAGTCTCTTTTCAGGGGCGAGGCGCAAGAGGGTGGGGTGGGAGGGAGAGCTCCCACGGTGGATTTGCCCCCCCTATGGTTTGTGTAAAGGACGGTTCTTTCATCATATATGTTCACACCCGTAGCACATTAGGCCATGAGAAAGAAAGTCACAGATTTGCGTCCACTGCCTGCAGCAACAGCTGCTGCCCAAAAAATTCATTATTTAAATTTTTTTCATTATTTCTGGGCAAAAGGCACTCCATGACTCAACATGAGTTTCAGAATCATCTGCCTTGCCCTAGATCGAATGCCCAGACATGCCACAGCTCTGGAAAGTGTACATATATATGAATGGGATACTCAGGTACATGTACCTGTTCAAACCTTTTGTGTTGAATGATGTGACTGGCCCGTTCGTTGGCATGGGCTGAGAACGGACAAATGGGGAACAGCGGTTTTTCCTCAACCGTGTTCGCTATTTCTCTGAACCATGGAGGAAGGAAAAGACCTTCCTATGAATAATCTTGGGGCACAATTCTTCAACAACCATCAAGAAGACTGCCAACTTTTCTTTATTCAGTGACCATGGTGAAAGCGTTTTGACTGAACTTACTGTGCACGTATAGGCTTTATGGAGGTTTGACCAAAACAAAACTGAGTGGACCCTTTATTTCGTGACCATGTCAACTTTTACAGAAATGACAGACACTGCACTATGAAAAACAGCCTCATGAGTTTTCAAAAACTCTGGGGCACAAACCATGAATCGTAGTATGATTTCCTTCTCATCTTATGCCGTAATTCATAATTATCACAGACATGACAGATACCACCCATGCCTTAGCAGAATTCAGATGTCATGCGTGGCGACAGTCCCCCCTACAACACAAAATCCCAATTTACTGAGGGGGCTAAGAGTTCTCACGGAAGGCAGTGCCCCCTCCCGGCTATGGCACTGAAGGTTCTAGAGTATTTAATTATTTTACTCACCCATTCCTCAATTTTTAACAGTGTAACAGCCAGTTTTGCATGAACTTGTAAGTACGCACTCCTCGTCCGCCACGTGCATACTCGCAGGAGATTCGTATCATGTTTTTAAAGTGCGCCACCACGCGACACATTTCGTCAGTAAGCGGTACGGTCACGGTCATTTTGAACGAAATTGTTATTCTAAACTATACAAGTGACAGTGTGTGCATTTGTTTCCTTTGCTTGTTACCCTTTCTAAATTGTATATTGGCTTTCACTACACATTACTGAGCTATATATTATATTATATTTGGACATGACAAAGTGAATAAAAATCAAATCAGGACTCCAAGTGACCAAATCACCTCAGTTTGGCTTGACACTACCCCACCCTCAGGAACCGCCATGGCGGTTCCTGAGTGGCGCGCCACTCCCACGCAACAACTTGAATGATTCTGCTCATTCTCGATATTGTTTCTTTTTTTGCCTGTTCATATTTTTGTTGATTTTTCAATATTAAAGTATTACCTTTGGGTCTGCATCTAACAATTGAAAACGATAGTGGACTTCATTCCTTGTCAAACTAAAGCTTTCCAATTACCTTGGAGATTGTACGTCGACATTAATAGTTTTCTTTGAGGAGATGTGTAGTTCGATATTACTTGAGAACACATGTAGGACAGCTTTCTTGCAATGTTATCACGACTCTCCATCCCCTTTGAAGTAGTTACAGAGAGAAACTCCTACATTTTGGTTTTGCTGTTAATGGAAATGTTCATATTCTTGAGCCAAAGCGTTATGTCATCTGTCGCAGAACAGTAGTGTCCCCATATCTCCGTATACAAAGAATTACGTCACACTTTTTCCAAACCTTTTTTTTAAAGTTATTTCTCCTTTTTACTTGAAGTTTTTTCGGACAAAAGGAATGACCAATATTTCTTCGACACAATTCAGGAAAACGGCCTTGTGTGTGACAAAAGAAGTAGGATCTTGTGTGTACTATTGTAACACATAGTTATGTGCCACGTGCATGAAAACAAGTTGAGCTGGATGTCCATTGCGCGTTTCCCTTTAAAGAAAACTCGAAGAAAATGGATTCCAGTGGTGATTATCACCTTGAGCCCCCCCTCCGTTTCTAGGCAAATAACTTTGACCCCAGAAGAACCTTCAGAGCGGAAAGGGAACCATTGTGCGGACCCGGGCAAGTCCACAGAACACCCCCGAACCTTTCATATAGGGACTTCGTTCATTTTCTGGTCCAAGTGGGAATTGTGTCGATGCACAGCCCAAGACCGTTTCCCCTCTCCCTCCCACTTCCCTCGTTGCACTGAATTTTCCAGCCCAACCCCCTAAAAATTTATGGTACGTCGTGACCAGCTGCCTTAGAATCAACGGCTGCCTAGTAGCGACATACAACAAGGAACAACTCTAAAATCTTGTCCATCAGGAAGTGAAATGAGCTCTCAATCTTGGTTTTTCTCGAGTTCTTACGAAACAGTTTTTATTCTGTTATGATTTTCGGTACAAATATTTCCATCATTCTGGGCTTACTTAACCTGCAAAAACATGCTGCAAGGATAGAGGCCTCTCTATAAGTGGATAGCGAAAGTTAAGGAGGCATGGAAATCCTTGGCCCAAAATGCACTGCTTATGTACAGACAACAAAAAGCAACGTAAGAAACATGCATGGTGGAGCTATTGCACCAGGACCACAGCGTTTGGTCAGAAGCAGTAAAGTCAAGCGGCGATTCCTCTTGTAGAACCCCAGTAGTGAAAAAAGGTACGTGTTTTCATTCGCTCCGTAATTTGACACAAACATAATTAATTTAATCAATTGATTTTGCAAGCAATTAAAATTTGCGTCAGGCGCTATGAACTATTTCCTAACAACGGAAATATTTGTATGAGTCATTTCTTGCAATCTGAAGCAAAGAATGTTTAATTCCGCTGAAGTCCGTTCTTGATAACGTAAGAATGATTCACCAAGTAGCCTGATCCCAAGATCCCTGGCACAATGTTACAAATATATCAAACAATTATATAATAGAAATGTGGTTTTACTGAACTGAAATTAGTCCGGAGTGGAAGTTTCCATTTGTTGTTCTTCTACTGAAAGAGTTCCAACTTTATATACATTGGCGGTGTATGAATTATACATGAATTGTTTACATAAAAAGGTAAACAAAAACATAACACGAGGAGTCTCTTTTATATTGAACTGTGTAGAGTTCACTTTGTCGGTCGGATCAGTTCTGCGGTGGAATAGGGCGACACGCCAGGCATGCGGTGCTGAGTTGCGACGCTGCCCGTGGGGTTTGTCTTGCACTGGGCACAGGAGCACGGCATGGGCCAGCTGCTGTACAGGCCGAGACTGGAGTTAGTCGGCGGGCCGACCGGCAGATGAGTGGGGAGCCCTGCTCGCTCTTGAGTTGCGCTGCCGAACGTCCTGAACATCGGCGACTCCGCCGGGGATGCGGCTGACTTCTCCGGACCCGTGGACACCGTTGTGGAGCAGAGCGGCGTGGACAGCAAAAGGGACTTGGGCACGGGCGCGATGGGTGCTGCTGGCGCGGTCGGGAAATAAGCCGGCCGGGCCGGGGTAGGGGGCAAAGGCGCTGACTGCCCCAGCCCTGCTACACCGGACTGTGCGGAGGGCAGTGGCGGCGGGTGCACCCCTTGGTACACCTCCCCCAGCAGTCTGCGCATGTCCTCCACGCTGCTGGAAAGCATCAGGATGTAGTTCTTGGCCAACAGCAGAGTGGCAATTTTGGAGAGCTTTCGGACCGACGGGCCGTGGGCGTAGGGCATGACCTCCCGCAGTCCGTCCAGGGCGGTGTTCAGGTCGTGCATCCGCTTGCGTTCCCGGCTGTTGATCTTCAGGCGGAGGGAGTGCATCTCCTCTTCGCTCATGACCTTGCTAGACACGGGGAGCTTGCGCCCGGACTTGCCGGCGAGGACGCCGCGCGAGTCCCGCCCGGCCTCCCCGACATATCTCTGGTGGGGTATTTTCCCCCCTCCTGCCTTGCCTGTGCTCCACTTCTCCCGGTCGCCTTGCCCCTCCTCTTCCTCCTCCTCCTCCTGGCCATGATCGGAGCTTGGTAGCTGTGGAGATGACGGCCTCGAAGGCGGCAAAGCGGATGAGTCCACGGACATGGCGTCATCGCTGAATTCGGCCCCGGAATCGGAGCCGGCGGGTGAGCAACTCGACATGGCCCCGACGGGGAAGACGCTGGTAGGTGGCGGGTTGTTTGCCGTGCTCGCAGACATTTCCTGTGCTCTCTCAGTCGACAACAGCATATCGCCTGTACTCGTTCGTTTCCGTCCGGTCGTCCGCGGCAGAGTTCCGGCAGCAAATAAAGTCAAGCGTTGGGTGCTCGTCGGTTGTTAATCTAAAGTTGCTCCGGACGCAAGGTCCTTAAATACCCCCCTTTTGTGGTGTCCACGTGCGGAGAGGTGTCGGGCGGGTGAGTTTAACTTTCACGCACTCACCCTTAATCAATATCAAGTAAGCAGCCGGTTGAGCCTTCCCGCCATACGATACTTTCTTCCGTTCCATCAATGGATGTGGTGTCAACAGCCGTTCATCACCCGTCGGCTTGACAAGCCAATCACATGGCATTTTACATGCACCACCCCAGCTCCAGTTTGTGATCAATCATGGGATTGGCGTAAACTTAGCGCCGCTGCTCCTCTGCGCATGCCCAACAGTCAATAGACTTCGACAGGGGGTTTTGAAAATGCAACAGCGGCTCACTGGTTGACATATGGCGTGAGGACATTTGGAATGTGTGTGAGCAAACATCGATGTGTGCCATCACTGCCTCCCTAATAAAGCGCCACACGCTCGACAGGCCGGTTCGACCGCTCAGCTAGCACTGCATGATGGCTGGCATTGTAAAAGAACTGCAGTCAATGGCTATTTTATGTTTATTGGTCGCTTACAAAGATAAGGTGGAAGTAAAGCTTAGTACACAGAAGAAATGATTTATTACGAAATCACCCCCAGCTGGTTTTCTTCTCGATGATGCGAACGTTTGAACCAGTCTTAAGTCACTAAAGCTGCAATCCAATTTGATCAAATTGTGAAAGAAAACTGAAAAGAATCGGACTATATTGATGTCGTCTTCACTGAAAAGAAACAAAAGACCCCAAAGAAATCAAATACATCAAACATGACAATGAACAACAAAATCTTTTAAAGAAGGAATAAATGAAATTAACTAAATAAATTACAATTACAAAAACGGATTTCCTTTTACGATTTAAGTATGCACATATGGATTCCGAGAAAATCCCCCGTATACGATGCCATATATGTGGAAGACTTTGTGTTGAAACTTGCCATTTTTCTTTTTGAAAGAAATCTGGGGAATGGAACAGTCGTTTAGTGGAAATAAATTTAAAATAAAAGACACGAACAGCCAACTTTGATCAGGCCAGCACACCTCCTGCCAACCCTGGCAAGTAAAACAAATCGCAGGCATCATTTTGATGTACAAAAAGCAAACGGGCACCCTACGACAATGCATTTTAATCATCAATCTCAGATGCCCTGTCACGCTTTTGCGTTGACAAAAATCAACAAAGGAATTGGGAGAGAACTCCCCCTATCCGATGCGGGGTACGCGCTCTGCGCAACCTGGCGGGCCCAACCCTATATAGCTGCTGCCGCAGATCGACCGTATACAATAGCGACGGCCGTACGCAGTCCCCAATGTGATAAGAAAACAGTGATTCAATTTTGCTCAAAAATCGGAACCGACTCAAGGGCATCGTTTCGGTTGGACTGCGTGCACATGTACATGTACATCCTTTTGTCACATGGTCCATTGGCGCTCTCCCACACATTTCCCTAACCGGACAAAAAAAGAAGAAGGATATCTTTTTAAAACAGTGCAAAATATTGTCGAAAGCAATGCAGTGATCGTGTAACGTGTAAAATTTCCCCCTTGACTGACCCTAGAGCGCAGTGGCGTAACTTTATGCCGGAACGGGGGGGGGGCAGCCGGGGATGGTGGGGAAGAGGATGACTTGCCCTGCCATGGAAATTTGACAAGCGATGTTAAGAATACATATCTACATCAGTAATTGCGTATCACACTCTTGCAGAACCTTACACCAAAACGGTGTTTTAATAATAGCTTTAAAAACTTATTTTTAAGTATTAATATATTTTGGTTGTTGGGAAGTCCGAAAAACTCTTCAAAATCGAACTTAAGTTTTTTTCTCACCAGTAGCCAATCCCCCCGTCAACACCCACCCCCACGATTTCTATCCATGTTAGAGCGTCTTGAATTGGCAGAACTGTGGGTATCGTTAAAAAATCTTCAAACTTCGTTGGAAATAAAGTGCTTTTTCAAGTGACTGGAGGTCCAGTCCCGATTTGACTCAGCTCCATGGCAAATTATCGGTAAGTATATGTTCAACAGAAAACACAGACAATTTCGAGGCTAATTTTAAGGTGAACCTACATTGGTTCAGCAATCTTTGAAAGTACACGCTACTTTTAGATCGTCCGCAGTTTGTCGGTATCTAACAAAGTCCCACCTCGAACACTCTGAAACATTTGTCGGGGTGCTTGATGATGGCATTGTAACTAAACAGTATTTCTCTTTCTGAGTTGCAGGTTCAGTCCTAGTTTGTATCATGAAATTTGGTGTTATGATCAATGTATCATTCGTTACTTTTTTTACCCAAAACATGCCTCTAAATTTGTTAACTACAAAAATCATTTATACCAAATAGCCGAGCTGTGGGGTTCGCGGATAAAATCCACAAAAACACCCAGAAACAGACAGTGTGCAGAGGTGTGTTTGCGGGTGGGGGGGGGCAACCGTGCCCGTCATGGAGGGTCCTTGTTCCCAGCCTCAATTCGGCACCATATGCGGCCAAGGCCAGTCGCGTGCCATAGCTGTTGATCTTGGCCGCTGTCTAGCTTACCACTGGTGCACTCGTTCTGTGGTTTTTGTCTCCGCTGCTGCGGGCCGCTGTCGGCCGGGGGGCCCTGGGCGCGCGGTCTCTGGTAGCTCCGGCCCCGTCTGCCAAGCGTTGGATACGGCAGCTGAGCGACAAACCGTATGGCTTGGGCGAGCAGGTAAGACTGAACACCCCAGGAGCGCCGTTGATGTTTAATCTGACGGCCCTTGCGCCGTCATACTGAGGACGGAAGCCGGCGATAATGAAGCACCAGGGACGGTCACGGTGAAGCAAGCGGCATGATACAGTGGTGATGCTGTCAAGTTAGTGTGTGCTGATGAAAGCGATAGATTTCTTGGTACAAAAGCAAGAACAATAAATGGAGAAAGACCGTAATCAGTCGCCAATGCTAGGACACAAATTCTGCAACTCCCCCTTTAACAATAATTCGATAAAGTCCATGCAGGCCTAGTCCAAAACACCGACTTTAGGCCTACGCTACGCCTTCGAAATTACACACCTTGGATGCTAGATGAGCGCAACGAACCAATTGTCGAATCAAGATCCATTTGAAGGGGGGAGGTACGAATCCACGGACCAGTCTAGTTACTAAAATATTCCTAATGAACCCTGTAAATCAGCAGCAGGGTAACTGGGGTGAAATTTGTATGTGTACCCACGGCTGCACACATTGTTTTCAAGGGGGCACTGAAAGCGAATGAACTGTGGTTTAGAAATAGGATGTGTACATTTCGAACTTTCGGGGGGGGGCAGAGCTGTAACAGGTCACTAATTTGTTAGACTTGAGTTGAGTCATTCGGCAAACAACTCGAGTCATGTCACTCCAGTCAGTTCGAGTCACCTTTATTTGAACACAATACGATAAAAATAAATTGACATTATAAATCGGCACTGTAAGTCATTGTATTCACTTTCTTCCACGCAGAGAGGTTTGCTTTAATGCTTTTATGTTGGGGATCTCGAGTCTTGTTGACTTTCACTGGAGTCGGGTCTTCTGATTAAAGTCGCGAGTCGAGTTGAGTCATGTGCTCTCAGTGATTCGAGTCATTTACCCGTCGGGACTCAAATCGAGTCGAGGCCCCCAAAATTCCTGACTTGAGTTACACTCGGGTCGAGTCACTGACTCGAGTCATTTATAACTCGCGGGGGGGGGAGTTGCGGATATGGACTTCCTCTTGGGGCATGTTCCTCTTCTATTGTGCGCAGAGCTCCCGTACCTATGTCACTATATAAATAGTGACAATTTAGTGGTGTTGGGCATGCATTGAGCGACTGTCATCGGAACAGAGGCACCACGTTTACCGGCATTGGTGGGACCACTGATTATTCGCCTATAGACCACTCACATTTTGCCTGATATCGGCGTCATACGTTTTCAGAAGACAGTATTACTTTCTGGGTCAGTTTTTGAAGTTACCTAAAATTCGTTTAAAATGAGCAAATGTCCATAGACTTAAATAGGGTTGTATTTTAGTAATACATGTATTCGTATCCGGTGTTCTGATAGCTGCGTGGAATCTTTAACACTTTCTGAATACTTCTTATACTTTTGTACCATAGTTTAGCAGCCACTCGTAGGAAAACATCACTCTGACGTCGAAAAAACAGACCTCATAACTCGGTGTGGAAACTTCTCGAACCCTCAACCCCCCTAGACCCACTTTTAAGATCCACAGGTGAAGAAGAAAGAAGGCTTGAGATCCTAGTTAAACAGATTTGTATTGTGTAGCGTGGAAATTCTGAAAGTATAAATTTTGATGACAAAAGTAATAATTTCACGACAATTTGAATAATTTTATCACATGTTCTGAGTACTCGTGGCGCCATGGAAAAGGAGTTTAACCATTTTGAATCCATTCTTCAGTTGTTGCTCGGCCAAAAGTTAAAAGGGTCGAGAGTAAGTGGAAAAACTCACTCTCAATAATTGTGAGTCTCTTATGAAACCACAAGCGCTCCAAATGTAAAGTGAACGCCGCTCTAAAGAGAGTAACAACCACTCCAAAAAGAGTGAACAGCACTCCAGAAAAGTGAAATTTCCCCTCTGCCATGGAGTGGGCTTCTCTTTTAGCACAATTTTCACTCTTTTTACGTGGATTTTGTGGGACTCACTTTTTTGAGGGTGAGACTTACACTCTTTTGCCTTTGGAATGAGTGCTCGGCCGCTAATTGCGCACTCGCAAACAGCACACTTGGGTACGATAACAGTGGCAATGCTTTTTCGCCCTGTAAATATTGCAAGAGCACGGGAACAAGGTTGCTTAGAAGTCGCACAGCTGTCTACCGTGTTTCCAACGATCGTGCAAGTTCAGGTCATCAAAATGCCGATTTCTTGCCGTCTTTGTGGTGGATCTGCAATTTTAAAAAGACCCAAAACGGTAAGCGCTCTATTTTATCGTGCAGTTTGCTTTTCATTCGATTGATGGCCCAAGCGAAATGTATTGTCCGTAAATTTATTAGTGATTGCGGATCGACTGCTTTTTTCTACACAATGTTCAACCATTACGGCCTTTATTTCCGACACCAATTACTGACGTCTTGCTACATGTATTTCGGGAAGAGTTCCAGCAATTCCATCTAGATCCACGGACAACACTAATTTTCCCCTTAAAATTTTACAACAGCCATCAGAAAATGATAAAACATCCCTAAAAGTGAGGATTTTCAGATAATAGGTTTGTGCACAGAGCATCAAGTGTTTTCCGTGTACAGATGATGTAGGCCCTATATCTTTCAGAAACATGGTATTTTTGTGTCTTTATAGACGAAGGTGTAGAAGGACAAAATATCTGTCAATTTTTCTACTGGATGTTGGTTTGAATATACATGTAAGCCCTACGTTCATCTGTTCATTTTTTTTCTGATTTTGATTGGTTTTGTCATTGGCTGTTAAGATAACCATGATGATGTGTAGGCCCACATGATGATTACAAAAGCTAGGTTGATGTACATGAAGTGTATGACCATGGAGATTGGAAAAGATGCAAGCTTGTATTTATTAAGCGCAATTCTGAACCTTTGCACAAATTTATTGTACATGTATATGTACTTCCTTCAGAGTTTTTTACCTACATGTAGTCTGAACGTGTTACTCATGTACATAATGACAAATCAACTCTGGTGGAGTATTTAAATGCACACGGAGATTGAAATTAACAATAACATATTTAAAAAATTTCTTATGAGCTTCGTACAGTACATATATTATCTATATAACCAAAAGATTGTGTGCTTTTACCATTGGTAATCATAGGCTGCCTCCGAATCTCTTGTCTAGAGCTAGATCTAGGTCTTCACTCCATTGGAAATACTTGGAGACGCGTAGACAATAGACCTAGCCATAGCTCTGGAAGCCTGTTTCGGACACAGCCTTAGTCTCACTAATAGTAACAATTACTTCTAGAAAACAGCTTGAGAAGGCAACTGACATGATCAGTTGCCTTCTAAGTTCTATTTTCTATCATTCTCACTTTTTGGTAAACCATAATCATGATAATTCTGTAACCATGGTAACATATAGGATTTTGAATTTAGCATTATTGACTGTTTACTTGCATCTTAACCCCAAAAGCAGCTGGCCGATTCATACAGCGTGTAGATGCATTTCTTTAAAATTTGGGAACACTGGTGGAGAGAATTCTGTATGTACATGACCCTCTGTGCACATACCCTATGAGACTGGTCCGGAAAAATTCCAAGTGCTTTTAAGTGAACATATTATATTTTCACTGCTAGATTGGACTTTTTAGGACATTTGATTGGTTTTAGATGGCTCATACATGTACATGTGCTGTAGGCCACTGCAGGGAAAACTGAGTGGCATATATGGAATTCTTTCCATGCTGGAATTGGTACATGTATTTGGACCATTGCTCCGATGACTTCATGAAACATTGGGAGACTTTGAGAATACTTGCTATATGTGGGTGCAGACCACTAATTCAAGTGAGAATTTCTGGCCAGCTCATTGGCAATAAAAATGCCCCTACAGTATCTTTTTAAAAAGGAGATTGTTTGGCCCCCAATGGTGAGGTCGTGCAAATTGTTGCCAGGATCAACTCCGTAAGTCTTTGAGCTTTCATATACATGTACATGTATGAGAGCAGAATGGCTAATGGTTGAAAAATTGCCACTTGAAAAATGGCTGCCATCAGACTTTGGAAAAATCACTTTTCGGGGGGTGATTTGTTTTGTGGGAACAATTAAAAATGTAATTTGTTAACCCACAAAAAATTGAAAAGAAATTGAAAGATTAGGGACCAGGCAATAATTTCATTTGTGTTTCTGAAATCTCAGGGATGTTGGTACATGCATGTTATTGGGCCCTGAACAGTGCTGATTTTACACTGTTTTTAATGTGGCTTAAATTAGTGAACTGTACCTATGTAATCATAAAAGAGTCTGGTACCATCCTAATCATCAGTTTAAAATGAGTCAAATGGATTCAAGGAATAAGATCGAAAATTGCTTTCGTGTGAATAATTAATGTCTGTAGGCATACATATGTGTACATGTACAGTACATGTAATTCATGAATGAGCACACCGCATCTGGTCTTCATCGAACAACTGTAGAGTGATATCGGCGAGGTGCTATGTGCTGCGCTGTGTAGCTGTGAATTTGTGCAGCTACGGTCTGCAGTTTCAACAGCGCTCCACTGTCACAACAGTGGCTGTGTTGTTGATTCCTGTGCTGTCAAGTTATATCTTGTGGCACAATTTGTCGATCTGTCCCACTCCAGCAAATCATCCCTCTAACTCAAATCGAAGGCTACGGAAGACTGTTGTGAAGAGGGGATTCAAATCGCAAATTTGCTTGTCTTTTTTTTTTGTTCGTCTGTCTACATGTACATGACTAAGCACCACTGCGATGTCATCTCAGCAAGAATCTTCAATTATACCCTTTCTGTACCGGTAGCTATCACTTCTTCAAAATTTGCTGGAATGGTTTGGTCTTTTGTTGTCAAACACTGTGTTTTCTTTATTTGTGATTTGGTGTCGGCCCCAAGACATGACAGTGAGCCAGTAAGTACCGGTAGGCCCTAATGTTTTCTCACAAGTCAGATATTTTGAATGAGCTAAGTCTTAGCTCACACTTTCAACAGGACGCCCCTGTCTCTCTCTGATTGCACAATTCCCTCACTTGTTGGGAAAAGCACGGAAAATGAATCTCAAAATTGTCCATCCTTTTCCTCACAACTGCAATGTTTAAAAAAGTGCCCTTTTATTGAGAGTAACCAAACAAAGATATTCTTTTCAATAGGATTTAGACGAATGGGGACTGCAAATTACAAGATAAATGCATAGACAAAAGGAATAGGAAATAATCAGACTCAGTAGTGGACAATGGCCAAACTCACAATGCAAGATTGAGGAAGTCTTAGGTTCGAATCCCACCCGAGTAAGCTTGTGAATTTTTCTCAAGCATTCGGACAAGCACTGAGTATACAGTGTTTATTAATATATACGTTGGGTAAAGGCAAAAAAATTAACATCTTGTCATCTTCCCAAAGCAAAACACATCTTGAAAACATTGAAAATGTTGGACAACAGGCTTGTCATTGGGTCTTTTGGCAGTGCAGAGCACTGAACAAATGATAAGGTTGGTAGGAAAAGAAAGAAAAATGCTAGCACTTTTTACTAGGGACATGTAGGCCTACAGGAACAATACATGTATGTGAATAGAGTCTGGCTGTCTGTGATCTGATGATGTATGATGCACAGTGTACTGCTGATGGGTGAAAACATCAAGCGCCCCTCGACTCGTCTCTGACTGACGCTTTTAAGGGTACCGTAGCTGGAATGAATTTTCCTCAGACACAATTACTTGTATTGTGGAACTTGGTACTCTTCTTCAGTACGTGTGAATACTTTTTTTCACTCCTATTTGGCTATGTATGCACTGAAAAGTGCACTTTTTTAAAAACACTTTATCACCTATGTTTTTCTGGATGACTGAGGGCGCTGTTGTTATGATGTCATCCTGGGAAGATGTACATGTACATCTACATGTACAGTAGTTTATATGTTCAGTAGGTTTTTCCATTAAAATTGTTGTCTATCAAAGTTGGCTTATTACTACTGTATTGATACATGTACATTGTACGTCGCGCCTTCATCAAAATGTGAGGTTTTGGGCCCAAATGATCCCTCCAGCAAGTGGTTAAGAGTACATGTACATGTACCTACGGTATTTTACATGTTCAATGTAGGTGTCAAAATTTGTCGCTGTGCACTTACATGTAAGTCGTTCTATGTATATTTGGGGTCCAAAATGTGACCTTTTGTGTCCCTGTTACACCTGACCTGTGTAATTTGACATGGAATTTTACCTTACGTGTACTTTAATCTATTTTATTTGTTTGGTACAATGTAGATAATTTAAAAGTCTTTGTCTCTTTTTGAAACTACAAAATGTGTTCTAAACTTAAAAATGCATACGTCAGATGTGACTGAGACAAAATATTGAACTCCAAATTTACAAGTACAGTTATACAGACCTGTGTTGTACACGTACGTGTAGAATAATCCACTTGCTAGTTGGATGTAGTGGACCCACCAGACAGGCCAAATAAATGTAGCCTGCACAAAAGTTTAAGGCCTTGAAGAGAGTGAAGAGCTTCTAATATCTCTGTCCTTTTTACAAAGCCGGTCATCACCATGTGACCTAAGTGCCCGGCTTGTTGATCCTAAAGAGGTAATATTCATGTACGTCTGCTACTTCAGTAGTTAATGAGTGACAAATTCTGGATTCACAAAACACTTTTTCTCCATGTTCATGTACATCCTGTACATGTACATGTATACATGTACATCCTGTACATGTATACATGTATCCACTGTACATGTATACATGTATCCACTGTACATGTATACATGTATCCACTGTACATGTACATGTATGATGTATCCACTGTACATGTATACATGTATCCACTGTACATGTATACATGTATCCACTGTACATGTATACATGTATCCACTGTACATGTACATGTATGATGTATCCACTGTACATGTATACATGTATCCACTGCACATGTATACATGTATCCACTGTACATGTATACATGTATCCACTGTACATGTATCAGGGAACCTATAGTACAGTCTTATTTCCTACAGTGCTGAATAATTATGTTGTGGTACTACATCTAGACACCTACATGTATGTATGTACCGGTATGGTACTTGTAAGCCCAAATCAGTCACATTTGGAAAAGAACTTGTTAATTTACATGTACATGTACATGTATAGTGATACATTTACTGGGTAAAGCTAACTACGTATTGGTACATGTACATACACTGTATGTTCACGTAACAGGTTTGTATTTCAAATTCTGCCTTTTTTTAAACCTTTGTACCGTTTGTGATAT